TCTGGTCTTTTTGACCCCTAAATGTCCTGCTAGGGGAATGTCATGACTGAGTTTTAACAACTCAGCCCGAAATTTACGGGGCACAACTAACTGTCTTTTTATGACCTGGGTAGCCCCCTGTCCCACCCCCTCGGTTACCCTATATAGCAACCCCTTATACCACTCAAATTTTTCGTGCGGGTTGTTCTCGGGGGTAGCGGCCGCGGCCTTCCTATAGCCTTCTAATGTGGGGTCAGTACGCTGTTCCTGTTCAAACCCCTGGGGGGTATCCCAGAAGGGTACGGGGGGATCGGGTAAAGGGGGTATTTCGACTCTTACCTGGTTCTCCTCAGAGTGCAGCGGAGCTTCCAGTCTGGCTTGAGCTCGGGTGGTGACCGGGTAGGCCTCGGCAGGGGGGTCTCGGGCTAGTTGAGAGGTTAGGCATCCCACATCATTTCCCAACAAAACCTCGGCGGGCAGTTCTTGCATAATCCCCACCTCCAGTTGTTTAGACCCGGAACCCCAATCAACAAACATATTAGCGGTGGGCAGTTTGTGAATAGCGCCCCCAGCCACCCTTACAGCGACTGTGCGTCCGGTGCGAGCTTGTGCTCTGACCGTGTGGGGCTGTACCACAGTCAAAGTAGCCCCAGAGTCTCTCAGCGCCCGGGCCCCCACGCCATCGACGGTAATCCATTGGCGGTGGTGGTCCCGGTTGTCCCCCCCAGCTTGTACTGGATTGACCTCATGTAATACACTCCACTGTTCTTCGTGGTTAAGGGCAGGGCCTGTGTGTTCCTGTTGCACACAGTGAGCAGCTGCCCTGGGTTGTTGTGGGGCTGGCCGTTCCCAGCTTCCCCGGTTTAAGCGAGGGCACTGATGCTTGTAATGTCCTGGTTGCTTGCAGTAGTGGCACACTGCAGGAGGTCGAGGTGTGTTTGCTGGGTTCGGTGGGGGGTTACCTATGGCAGGTCTAGGTGGAGCCGGGTTTGTTGGAGCTGTGTACTGAGGCTTAAATGGTGGTCTGCTCGCCCCTGGCTCCTTCCTCCTGTTATCCTGGTACTCGTCCGCTAGCCTAGCGGCCTCCTCCACGGTTTTTGGTTTCCTATCTTTTACCCAGTCTTTTATGTCCTCTGCAGTATGATTAAAAAATTGCTCCAGTATCACTAGTTGCAAAGCTTCTTCTAGGGTGGTTGCCTGGCAGCCCTTCATCCAATTGCGGGCTGCCCGCTGCAGGCGAAAAGCCCATTCCGTATGGGAATCTCTCCCAGTCTTTCTCAGGTCTCTAAACTTTTTCCGGTATGCCTCCGGAGTTACCGCATATCTGGCCAACAAAATGTCTTTTATTTTCTCATAATTATGTATGTCCCCCTCAGGTACTGCTCGCAGCGCCTCGGCTGCTCTACCTGACAATTTACTGCTGACGACTGCAGCCCATTTGGTGGAGTCTAATCCCTCCAGTGCACACTGACGTTCAAAGTCTTGCAAGTAACTGTCAATTTCCATTTCATTGTCAACAAATGATTTAAACGCTGCATAATTTACCTTCTTTGGTATTTCCCCAATACTTCTCGGGGGGTGTAGCAAATCCCCCTGTGACGCTCTGTCCCGGTCATCTCGCTCTTTTTGCGCTTGTCTGGCTTGTGCTACGACCTGCAGTATCGCCTCTGAGGATGGATTGGGTCCCAATAAACTGAGTGTCCATCGGATGTCCTTTTGCATCACGGTTTCTTCCTCTTGATCCATCTCTGTATTACTGGTATTATCGCTCTGCATTAACTCCGCAATTAACATGGCTTTTGTTTTGTTACTTGCCACTCTGCCTCGAGCTTCCAGTAAGTCCTTTAGCGTGGTTCTTTTAAGTAGCTGGTACTGCTGAGCCATTCATTCCTTTGCTTGTTTTGAAATGTCCATTTGGGATTCGAATCCCTCCGCTTGCCACCAGTTGTAAGGAAATCAAGTATAGCTGAACCGCTTTGATAATTCCTCCTGCAATGCCAGCGTCTAAGGTAGTTCCAAGCAATGAAGTCCATAAGAAATATAACAGCTTCCCAAGATAATCCCCTTGGTAAAGCATACGAATTCCCAAATAACAGTCAGAGTCCAGAATCAGGATACAAGTAGATCTGAGGTCTGGAATCTCCAGCCTGCTTTTTATTAGGGTTACAGACAAAAAATACACACCCAGGGGGAGGCATTAAATCACCAATCAGGTACAGGTTACAGCCCCTACCTCCCTCCCCTCTGATAAACAGTTAACTTCATTAAAACGTGCACTATTTTACCCCAGTTCTGGATGTACCCCAAAAACAGGGGGTACACCTTTAAATTGGGCACCGCTGGATAGTGCTCACTGGTGGGGACAATATGTCAAAAAATCAGTCCATTCGGATGAATGGTTCGGGAGTTATGGAGCACTAAAGTTTTGACCGACCGCACGGATCATCTAGCCGAAAATAGTTCCATAAGTTTTGGCCCTGCGGTCGGTCTCCGTTTAGGCGAATAAAAAAGACGAAAGTCCTGCCATCCGTTCGCATCTTCGTGGTCGTTGAAATCCCCATACGAAGTTGCATGTAACTACCGAACGGCCGGTCATTCGGTTTTTTCCGTGCGAAGTTCTGGATGTATGGAGGTCTCAGCGGTGTTCGCCTGTTTGTGTATCCGATTTTAGTTCCACGCGTTTGACGGGCAAACACCGCTGTTCGCACGTAAAATGGCCGCGACCACGTGTAAAGTGCCGAAATGGCGGCCACCTAGAGTTTACACGGGGAATTCGCCTGAATCCATTCGAATGGTAGAAATTATAGTTATATGCCGAATTCCAGCTGAATTGGGTGAATTAACTTGTGCAACAAAGGTAGAAATCCTGAGGAACGGAGTCATTTCTTCACATATGGCGACACAATTTCTTAAAACCAGGTTAGCGGAACTTTGCAGAAATATTTTTAAAGGTTACCCAAATCATTCTGTTTCAAAGCACTTTATCCAACACAGTAAAAATCCCAAACTTTTAAAGTGCATTGGGATCCAAAAATGCAAACTACCCTGGAGTGGAGGGGACCTTAAAAAACTAATGGGACAAAAAGAAATGCACTGGGTATTCCTCCTAAAAACTCTCACCCCAGAAGGTTTAAATGTAGACTTTGATTTGTTTAATTTTTTTCTAAAAATAACCCTTTTATATTTTCTACACCTTTTATCTTAATGTTAACACTTTTTTTTTTTCTTTAATTCTTTATTTTTGCATGCATATTTGGAGTCACATCTGGCCTGCAGTGCCACAACAGCATTTGTAGGTAAAGCCATACACAACATGAAACTGCACATTTTGTAAAATAAGAGATCATAACATCGCTATTCCTGACCGGAACTGGTCAGGTAAAGGTATGTAAGAAATGTCTACATTTACTATTCTCTTTGTTTGTTGCATCCGTATAACAATAACTTGTACATAATAAAATACAATAAAGTAGAGCCTTAAACATTTTAACGAGGTATGGTATTTCATGATGGGGTAACGTGTTTAGCTTGTATCTTGTGCGTGTCCGGCATCCCTGTGACTAGCGGTATGCATGGGTTAGTATCAAGGCTCCGAAGGAGGCCCGGCTATTTGCTCGTCTTCATTTGGTATCTGGGGAGCAGGAAACACAATAGGTAAGCCTAAGTGTCGGTATTGGGTTACTGTGCGTGAAGTGGGTGCCTAGGATGTACCTTAAGTCGTCTGAGTAGGGTGAGTGTTCAGTGGCGTTGTGTCTTACTGCTAGTGTGTAGGCACAACTGTGGCTGTGGGGCGTCTGTGGTAATGAAGTGGTTAACCTTATCCTCTGTAGCGTGTATGTGGGTCTTCTGTATTACAGTGAGGGTGTCGTTGCTGGTGTTGGTTGTCTAACATTATAGGTCCTGATATCAGCATACCGGTATTCTTCAGACATGTTTTACTGGGTGATTAGTTAGGCGCATAAAAGTCTAATAAGGCAGTCCTTGAGTTTCGTGTTGCAGATTAGCCAAGGTATTGTTAGTCCATATGTCAGCTTGTCCCGCCGCGGCTGTCAGAGTGTTCCCCCCCTACTTCATCTCTGCCCGTACTGATCCTGTGGGACTCATGAGGAAGTCCTGTCACACTGGACGATGTGTGTTGCCAGGAGGGTGAGCATCCTGCCTTTGTCTCATGCTGGTGGTCGCTGCCCTCTGTGACTCTGGGGCCTGTTGCACAGATGGAGGTGGCGTTAATGAGTTGAGTCCCTTCAGGAAGTCTGTGTGGTCGTCAGATACTGACAGGACTTGTAGAGTGTCCCCATGCGGCACCACCAGGGTCCCTGATATCCCCCATCTGTACTTGATACCCGGGTGATGGGCGCGAACTTGCGCCGGTCGAGGAGCAAGGAGAAAGGTAGGTCCTCAAATATGGAGATCTTGTTATTAGCGACTATTTGGCTTGACTGTTGCCTGGATCGCGCTATGAGGGAGGCCTTCACGGTGACATCTCTGGTAACCGCGGTGATGTCCCATGGTTCGTCTGCCGGCGCCACGGGGGCCTTTCAGGCTCTGAAGGCCGACAGTATGGGTGGTGTTCTGCCATTGTGTTGAACCACCAGTGCCTGCAGGACATCATGGGTATAGTTAATCAGGGCCTCTTTTCCTATCGTTTCAGAGGCCCCACGAATCCGTATGTTTCACCGTCTGTGCCGCGCTTCTAGGGAAGTGACCGTGCGAGTAAGGCGCAGCACGTCTTGGGTAAGTGTGTTTATACGGGAGGTAGTGTCTTCCAGATTTTTGCCTCTCTCTTCCTCTCTTGTTTCAACGGCTCAAATGCTGCGATTTAGGCCGCCAATTTCCTCTTGCACTCCCACCAAGTCCGACTTCCAGACCTCCCGCA